GGCCCGGGCTGGATTCGAACCCGCCAACCCGCCAGCTCAGGTGTATGTGTCTGGCACCTTAGCCGCTTGAGCCACAAGCGCCGAGCCCAAGGTGTTTTTCACAAAAATTTTATTTGACTTACGTAAACAACCCTGGGAGGTAGATAGGGCAAATATTCCTTCTTATCATACAGAGTAGGAAACTAAAGGTTTAATACTTTGCCTGAGATCACAAGAGTTAAGAACAGTCAAAACTAGATCCCAAGTTTAGTCTTCTGACTCCTACTCTAGGTTTTGCCCATCACCATACTACCACTACAACTAATAGGAAAACCACAAGTAACAATAAATTGAACCAACGTAATTTCTTACAAGGTACTCATCAATATAAACCTCAAGCTACTGTACTCTAAAGTACTTTTTAATACGAAACTGTTGATGTTATAATAGAAAGTAACTTCTTGAGGCTGGGCACCTGTAGTACAGTGGTTACGGTGCCAGCCACAACTGGCCCGGGCCAGCTAAACAATGACGACTGCAACAAAAAAATAGCTGGGCGTTGTGGCAGGCACCTGTAGTTCCAGCTACTTGGGAGGCTGAGGCAAGAAGGCAAGAGAATAGCTTGAGCCCAAGAGTTTGAGGTTGCTGTGAACTGTGACGCCACAGCATGTCTATCCAGGGCAACATAGTGAGACTATGTTTCAAAAAAAGAAAGAAAGTAACTTCTTGAATTTGGTTATGTGCCTCAAAAACACAGTAGGGCAGAATTTCTCAGCAGCAAGAAGTTTAAATCAGTAGTCACCCTTGACATTGTATTTAAGTTAAACATTTCAAGTAAGGACCCATTTGTTAAGCAAAAGAAACATCTGAACCTCAGGCTAAGTTGCTATTCATTTCTAGGCTAAGCTGCGTCTTATAGACACAACATAAGAAAGAGTAAGAAAAAGAAATGGCAAAAGTTACTAACAGAAAGAAAGTAGAATAAAGGATGTGAAGAATATCTGCAAGTCCTGAGGCTTTTCTTATAGATAGATTATATAACTAAGAATTTCCACAATAACATGCTATCAGAAATCATCTTTGGGATCCATGCTGTAGGAATCCATTATAGGTAACTTCTATTATACTAAGGTACACCTGACTGTAATTCCTAATCAGAAGGGCCCAAGATAAGCCCAACTTACACTAGTATGATCATACCCACAGTTTATGTGAAAATATGTGAAACTGTAATTAAGAGGGAATCAAGTCTAATAGAAGACCCACTTCAGAAAGTAAAATGCATATATATCCCATTCAATTTATGTTAATCAAATCTGATTATCCACATTAATACATACCTGGTAGAGTTCTTCTAAATTGTATCTAATCGAAGTACTATTCTGAATAGCTTCTACTGCTTCTTTCAGTTTTTGCCAGGTTTCATCTGTGTAGTTTTCTGGTAATTTAGGCTTATCTAGATAACATGTAAAAGACTGGTATAAGAATAATATGTAGAATATAGTAACCAAAGAGCCACAAAATCCAATAGCATTACTATTTTTTAGAGTACACAGTGATCTTTATAACTATTATACCTAAATATTAAAAGATTATATTTAAGTTTAATATAAAGAAGAAAATTTGAAGCACCGTAATACTGTTTAGGTCATTTTGACTCACCTATTAAAACTGAAGGTGAGGTTTTTCTCCTATTGATTGTATTGCTTCAAAAAATAAAAATTCAAGAATGACAGATATAAAATAGCAATCCTCATCTTCATCATGTGTAAAACCTAACTCAACATAAATTTTGAACCCAAGATTTAAAATACTGAGTGTTTACTACGCGCAAGGTATTTTATAAACCTCTTAATTGTCCCAACAATGCCCTGAGGAGGGTACTATTATGCCTATTTTACAAACTGAGGAAACAGGCTAGAACTCATTTAGTAAGCTTGCATAAGGTCACCAAAGCTAGTTGATAGCAAAGCTAGGATTATAATTCAGGTCTCTTTAAGCCTCACATTTATTCAGCATCTACAGAAATGGAGAAAAACATCCTAACTCAGGTTCTAAACTACATTTATGAGCAAAGTGAAATTTAAAACAATTAAAACATCCAAGTAACTTCAGATCGATGTAGCATTTTCAGAGTAGAAACACGTTACTCTAGGCTTTAATTTAAACTCCACTGGCCAGCAGTGAGTGAAGAAAGTTTCCTAATTAAAACATCCAAATGCCTTAAAAAATGTATTTTTATTTTAGGAGGGAGAGAAAAACAAAATCTCTGAACTCAATTTGCAAATACAATTAGGATCATCACTCATTTCTTTAAAAAAATATCCTTGGCTAATTAAATCAATATCTTTAGGTGAAATAGTGAATACATTAGTCAATTACAATTCTTATTTACTTCAGAAAGCTCTACTATTAAGTTAGGCAGAAAACAATAGTCTTGAGAGCTTGGGGATGGGAGAAGAGTGATATTAAAAAGAAAGGGTTAAAAATAGACAGCACCATAACCCTTTGCTTGAAACAAAATAGAACATATTCCTGATTTCCACTAATATTGAAAACACAAGCATGGAGAACCTAATCTTCTCAACACTAACATTTAGCCACATAGCACTTATCTAGTAAACATTACTTCATTCATTTACTATTCTATTTAATAAATACTTTAGCATTAATTACCTACCAATTAAGGGTGTTGAAAAAGTCAGAAAAATAGAAACATTTTCAATAGATAAAATTAATTCAGGTTATGTGCATTTTCAAAAATTGATTTTTTATTTGCATCCAAGAATTCATAAAACTCTACATCACATATCCTAAACACAAGGATAAAACTTGCCTAAACACTTCTGGTCAATACTTTAAACCAATTTTAGTGATGAAAAAATAGAGGTAGTAAGTGCTTCTATCTTTAAACTAGTGGTACACAAATTTACTACTTCTGTGTATACACAGAATTTTTCATTTCCAAACCCTCCCCCTTTGGAAAGAAATGCAGATAGCGCAAAAAATTTTTCTCCAAATATTGCTCCCACAATAAATTTCATGAATATAGTATTGATTAGATTTAATTATAAATCTAATTAAAAATATTAAGCATGAAATTATCACCACTGCTACCAGTCCCTATTTCTAGGGACTAGAGAATGTGGCCTACTGAAGCACAAAAATAAAAATCCCAACAGTGCCAAGACTTACTATGCACCTGAAAAAAATAAACCTCTTTAGAATACAAATTTCTCACCTGTAAAATCCGGATCAATCATACCGATTGTCAGTGTTATAAGGAATAACAGATTAAATACAAGAGATTGAGAAAATCCTCAAAATACTGCACAGAAACACCCGATGTGATGTGCGCTTCAGCACAAGGATACTAACCACCCCCGGCAAATGAACCCTCTACCAAAAAAGGGACCTCCCCTCCTCCTCATTGATTATGCATAAAACATTAGGCCATCTCTATACTGTTTAATATATTAACATAAATAGAGCACGTGACCCCTCAAGTGTCAAATCCTTAGTAAGTGATTACGGATTTGGGGCTTGGTTACCTTTAAAGTTCTTGATCACTAACTTCTTAGCAGAGCCAGGTTTGCTGTTAGCAAAGCTAGAGACGGTGGTAGATGATTTGGCTAGGCCGTTTGCATGATGCACCGAAGCCACAGAGGAGATTAATATACTCTTATTTTTAAGTTGCTGCTGCTGAGATGTTGCAGCAGTTGGTGAAGAGGAGGAGGAGGAGGAGGATTCCTCAGCCATCTTCGCATCAAACCCTACAAACTCCAGGGTGTCTTCAAAACGCAGCTTCTTCTGTATCGGGTGGCTGGAAGAAGCCACCGAAACCCCCAGGCAGAAGGACGAGGTTGAAGGGGATGCCGAATCTCTGGGTTGTGAAGGAGGAGTGGAAGAGGAGGAAGAGGTGGAATCAAAGTCTTCTCTCTCGTTACTACTGTTACTGCTGCTACTGCTGCTGCTGTTTAACTTTCTCTTCTTGGCAGAGGTGGGCGGAGTGGTGCTGGTATTACCATCAGTGGCAGATCTGACCTCCTGAGCAGCAGCAGCAGCAGCTGAGGGATTGGGGGAAGAAAAACCTGTTGGAAACATGAAAATAGCGGGGTCAACAGGCAGAGGAGCATCAAAAACCTACGTTTATATGCCTGCGTGCGTGTAGGAGAGAAGGTGGCAATGCTAGAGGGGGAAGGGAAGAAAGAAAAGAGGAGAAACACAGAGGACAAGAAGGAAAGTGCAGGGGGGAGCTACACCGGGGGAATGGGAGGGTTTGGGAAGGCAGATAGGCTGACACCGGGAGTGAGCAGAACGAGGGGGAGAGCTAATGAGGAGGCTGACAGGTAAACGGCCGCGCCGTCCCCCTCCCCTGCTTTTCGATCTCTCTCCCCCTCTTTCTGCTGGAGCAACTCAGCGAGTCTGTGAGGCTGCAGCTCCTCCTCCTTTTCACCCTCTCTCTGGGAGGGGAGACGCTGTGGTTGGGGGGAGGAGGAGGGGTAGAGAAGCAGAGCTTGTTATTGTCAATAGCACAAGAAGCTAAAGATGGCGCTACTTCCGGTCACACGGTAGTGAGGGAGGGGCGACGACTGTCTCCGGAGTTGGGGGTGGAGGGAAGCACCGCAGCCACCCTGGGGGCGGGGAGCTGGCGCGTGGTGGGGCGGCGGGAAAGGGGCGGCTGAAGCACCCAAGACACTCTCTCTCAGTTACCCTTTTCTGTCAGCATCCTCCTCCCCTGGCCCTCCGGTAACTCCCACCTCCTCCTTAACGGTCCCGAAAGAAGCTTCGCGCTTCAGGGTCCTTACCGGAAGTGACTGGGCAAACACTTTTCATAGCGCCCAGCTCTCGAAGCCCCCAGGTCCGAAAGACTTGACTGGGGGGCGGGGGAGGGAGAAAAGGGGGGAAAGAGAAGTGGAAAGCGAGAAGGGGGTGGGCCTTCGCGACCACTTCGGAGCTACTGATTGGAGCTTTCTGTACAGGAGGGGCGGGGAGTAGCAGGAGAGGGAGCGGGAAGGAGCCCGAAAGGGGAGGAAAGGTGACGCGTGGGGCGGGATGAGGTAGCTGGGAAAAATGAGGAGGAGGAAGAGGTGGAGGGAGGATGTAAAAAGTAAGGGAATGGAAGAATGGAAACTTTCAAAGAGATAAAAGACTAAGGAGGGGTCGCAAGGCTAAAGGAGTAACCTGCAGTGGTGGAAAACATAATCATGCCATTATGCCCCCTGTTGGAGAGAATGTCACAATATTAAGTAAGATAAGATAAGAGAAGAAAATGAGCTTAGATATGAAGAAAAGGAGTTTTTGATTTCGTGCAGCTATAAATTGTTTTCTCTTTCATGTCAAGACACCACAGACCCAACAGTGAATAGACCTTGAATTTTGATAATTTTAATATTTTCTTCAGTAATGTAGGGTGTAAATTCCTTTTACCTTGACAGAGAGAGTCTCACAGCTCACAGCAACCTCCAACTCTTGGGCATTGCTCTACTGTCACCCTCAGTAGAGTGCTGTGGTGTCACAGCTCACAGAAACCTCAGACTCTTTGGCTAAGCTGATTCTCTTGCCTCAGCCTCTCAAGTAGCTGGGCCAAAACACCTGGCTATTTTTTGGTTGCAGTTGTTTAGCTGGCCCGGGCTGGGTTCTAACCCACCACCTTTGGTGTATGTGGCTGGTGCAGTAACCACTGCGCTACGGGTGTTGAGCCTTTTTTTTTTTTTTTGAGACAGAGTCTCACTATGTCACCCTCATTAGAGTACTGTCCCGTCACACCTCACAGCAACCTCAAACTCTTGGGCTTAATTGATTCTTCTGCCTCAGCCTCCCAAGTAGCTGGTACTACAGGCTCCCACCACAATTCCTGACTTGGGCTGGGTTCGAACTCCACTACCTAGGTATATGTGGCCGGCACCCTAACCACTGAGTACGGGCGCTGAGCCCCTTTTACCTTTTTACCAGGAGCTTTTTCTAAGATGGATGGCCAGAGTTAAGGTTGCATTCTAAAGTCAAGAAACAGGACTATAACTAAGCGCCCCCCCTCCCCCAATCACAATTCCCAGGACCACCCCTACCCCCATTCATTATTAACTCAGTAATTTATAGACCAGACAAAGCTTCCTCCTTTTACCAAGTTTCAGTTTATACAGTATCTCAAAGGAGACATTTTGGGCGAACAATATTGGCAAAACTCATTGTTTTCTATAAATATGTTCTATACAGCCATTTTAAATTTGATTGGTAAGAGATAAATCTCTACATTTGGTTAAATTAGCAACAATAAACCTTATAAATTCCCTGTTAAGAGTTTTTACTTAGGCTTCATGCCTGTAGCTCAGTGGCTAGGGCACCAGCCACATATACTAGACCTGGCAGGTTTGAACCCAGCCCTGGTCTGCCAAACAACAATGACAACTACAAAAAAAAAAATACCCGGTGTTTGTGCAGGTGCCTGTAGTCCCAGCTACTTGGGAGGCTGAGGCAAGAGAATCGTTTAAGCCCAAGAGTTGGAGGTTGCTGTGAGCTGTGATGCCCTGGCACTCTACCAAGACTCTATCTCAAAAAAAAAACAAAAAAAAAAACAAAAAAAACAGAGACACTTAATAAAAAGAAAAGTTATTTTTTGAACAAAACTCACTTAAGGATATTTCATGGAAAATTTAAATAGTAGGTTAGACTACTGGGTCATTCAAAGTGAGCTAGAGCTCAGAAGGCAAGGATGTATGAGACTCTATAGTGAGACTATAGTGAGTCTCTATCTCAAAAAAAAAAAAGTTTTTACTTAACCCTAGGGCATTCTCAAAGGGAGAGAACACAATGTCACAATGTCAGGTAAAACTATTTGGCAACCTGTTGATCATACCACAGAAACATTCAAGGAGCATGTATTTAAAGACACTATGCAAGGTCCCTGCCCTTGAGAATCCAGTAGGGGAATATTTTTTCAAAACTAATTGCCATAAGGGTACTATAACAAATATACAGAGTACTGTGGGAAGAGGCAAAACAAAAAATTCCAGGGAAATCTGAAAGTGTCAGGAAGAGTTTCACAGAGATGATGTTTATTCTGGGTCTCAAAGTGGAGATGCCAGAAAGGAAAGGAGAGAGGAGAAGGTTAAAGGCATTCTGACCAATGGAAAGAAGGGGCTAAGCAAGGGGTTGTTAAAGGGCCTGGCCTGTTTTGGAAAACATAGAAAGCTCAGTGGGGCGGGCCAGAAACTAGGATGTCTGGTTGGGAGTAAGGAAAATGAGGCTCAAAAGTGCCTGATACAGCAAGCTGGGAATTTTGAAGTCTACCCTGTAGGCAACTGGATTCTATAGGGAGACAGTCCAGTAAGCTGGGCTTTTATAAACTGGGGAGTGACAGGATTATGGGTGGAGTAAAATCAGTTTGTTTGGTATAGCTTGTGATAGGTGAATCAGAACACTAAATCAACTTTCTAACTCTGTTTAAACATGCCCACTTTTTTTTTTTTTTGGTCCCGAAAAGTCCCAGGTTAAAATGCAAATCAACCTTGTGAATTATCAGCAGATAACTGTGCTATTTGAGACAGCCTACAGAGAACAAGGCTATAATGGAATTTAGACCTTAGGACCTTGGAGAAGGGAGACAGAGGCCTGAAAAGTGACAGAAGGAGGCACTCCGAGTTTTTTTGAGTATATATATATGTATACAGTTCTTGCCACCCAAAGTGAGACAGTTTTTTTTTTTTCTTTTAAGCAGAGATGGGGTGGGTGGTGTCTCCCTCTTATTTAAGGCTGGTCTCAAACTCCTGAACTCAAGCAATCCACCTGCCTCTAAGATTCCAGGCATAAGCCCCTGCACCTGCCTGCTGTAGCAGAAATTCTTAAGGCCAGGGAAGATGTCCTAAAACATTCAGCTTTCCTTTATTGTGGCTTATATTTCACACAGTGCCAAACTACTGTGTAAATGCAGAGTAAATACTTAACTGAACTGAATATTCCATTCAATGAGAATTAAAAAATGCCATGTCTTTAAAACGAAGGATTAACTGGCTAATTTTCAGGATTTAACAAACAAGGTTGTTCTAAGTCATGTAAATTCTTTAGAAGGCTGCATGAAATGCTAGTTATTTTTCAAATTATGAATATTAATACAATTTAAAGGAAATGGACATAAAGAGAAAGCTGTTTTTGACATACAAAGAACCTTTTTTTTGCAGTTTTTGGCTGGGGCTGAGTTTGAACCCACCATCTCCGGTATATGGGGCTGGTGCCCTACTCCTTTGAGCCATAGGCACTGCCCCAAAGACAAACTTTTATATATACCTGAATGATAACTGAGTCCTGTTAATATTCAATTACATTCTAGTAATAATAGTTCTCAGTCTCACATGGTTATCTAAACCCTTCAGTTCTCTGAGTTATATCTTAGTTCTAAAAGCATACATCCTTGCCTTCTGAGCTCTAGCTCACTTTGAATGACCCAGTACTCTAACCTACTATTTAAATTTTCCATGAAATATCATTAAGTGAGTTTTGTACAAAAAATAATTTTTCTTTTTATTTCTTAAGTGATTAATAATATTCCTTTTGGCATTTTCCAACCTCATTTTATGTTGTGCCTATTCCATCCTCACATATAGTAGAACCTCTGTATTTTGACTATCCAAGATATTAATAAACTGGTCAATATTCAGAGGTAGCAACATAAGGAACTAGGCCTACTATACATGTGGTGCATGTCCCATCTGTGAAAATTAGGTCAACTTAAGGAAGTGGTCAATGTAGGGAGGTGGTCAACTATGGAGGTTCTACTGTAGTTAGCAGATCTTAATATGTAGATGTAATTTTAGTAATATTTTTTGTTTAACATTTGTATTTTGTGGCACAAACCAATTTAGATATCACTATCATGTGTGAGGAACACAACTTTGTTTCTTCTTGGACCAATTTAAAAAGAAGAAAAACATTCTATGTTGCTTTGTTAAAACATTTTTTCATTTTCTGCATCAAAAATCAACCAGTTCGGCTGGGTGCCTGTAGGTTAGGGAACCGGCTGCATATTCCAGGGCTGGTGGATTCAAACCCGGTCCCAGCCTGCTAAACAAACAAACAAACAAACAAACAAACAAAAAATATCCAGGTGTTGTGGCAGGCACCTATAGTCCCAGCTACTAGGGAGGCTGAGGCTAGGGAATTGTTTAAACCCAAGAGTTTGAGGTTGCTGTGAGCTGTGAGGCCACAGCACTCTACCGAGGGTGACAAAAAAAAATCAACCAGTTGGGGCCAGCTAAAACAAGCATATATTATGTACACCCAAATGTTTGCCAACCAATGTTAAATACATTCTCAACATTAAGATATATTTTCAAGGTTAACATCACTGAAGCCACAATAATCAAGATGTGTAATGTAGGACACCATACAATTATAGCCATTACCAGACTAAACTAGATTGGGCACTTAACACATATTCCATGTGTAAGATCTTTCATCTTGTGAGTTCAACTCATGCCTTAGAAACATTAATTAAACTTTACAGTGCTGCTAGATGAGGTGTAGTTATTATTGGCCTTCTTTTAACTAAGCTATTTATAAATATAAGTATATGCGTAATGGCAGAAATGAACAGATGAAGACAGAGGACTACTTTTTCTAATGTCCATTCCCCTATTTCTGTAGGCGTTTTCCTTAAAAGGCAATGTAACCCACTTTTGATCACAGTGATTCCCCAGGGTGCTGGGTTTTAGTTCCTCTCCAGACATTGTATAGCAAGGGCTCGCCACTAAATAGATACTCCTGGAAACTTTGTTATCCAATGGGTAGAATTTTCCTTAACATTAAGAGACCACTTGCTCAGGAAAATACCAAAGATGACTCTAAAGAAAGCATGATTTGAGGCTGGGCATGTGGCTCACACCTGTAATCCTAGCACTCTGGGAGGCTGAGGCAGGTAGATTGCCTGACCCTCATAA